ACCAAGCGCTCGAGAGCAAATTCCATCAGAGTCCCGAGAAACGTCAGATATGGGAAAGAGAAAAGCATGCTTCGGGCTGCTGAGGTTAATGTGGGGCAGAAGAGACAAACAAGAATGTGGCACACTTGGCTGCTTCCCTGTCCTTCCGCAGTCTTGTAAATCCCGAAACCGTGATACTGAGCTCCAGAAGCCAATCTGCACCGCCGGCCCCGCCCCAAGCTGCTTCTCAGCGGGGCAGTGCTCCAGGGAGTGTCACGTGGCCTGTGGGGGGGGGGGGGTGGCGAGTGGAGGACACGGGTTCCGCAGGGCACTGCTCTGGGAACAGAGCAGCGAGCAGCGGACGTGGCCGCCCTGGCGGAAAGCGCTCCCTCCTGGCCACGCTGACTGCCGGCGGCCCCTGGGGACACTGGAACCCCCGCACCGGTCAGCCCCAGACTGCCCACGGCTCCGTGCCTGCTCGGAGCCCTCAGTCGCACTGATTGCTACCCGGCGGGTGTAGCCACGTATGCACGTGTGAGAGGGACCCCAGCCCTCTTGATTTAACCCAACAGACCCGACAGAGCACAGGAAAGTTGCCTACTCAACGTCTCCACTCAGATGTCTCCTGGGCACCTCAAAGTTAACAGGCCCCAAAGCTTCCCTCTCAAACTGGTCCTGCCTTCATTCTTCCCATCCTTTCTTTTCTTTTTTTGTTATGGCTATTTAGTGTTGAGAGAGACAGAGCACGGGCAGGGTGGGGGCAGAGAGAGAGAGGGAGACACAGAATCTGAAAAGGCTCCAGGCTCTGAGCTGTCAGCACAGAGCCCGACGTGGGGCTCAAGCCCAGGAACCATGAGATCATGACCTAAACGGAATGCGGGCACTCAACCGACTGAACGACCCAGGTGCCCCCATTCTTCCCCATCTTGGGGCAATGCCAGAACCATCCTTCTGGTTCCCCAGGCCCAAAAGCTTAAAGTCAAAACCCACATCCAGTCCAAGGAAAACCCCGTTGACTCTCTCTTCCTGGCATATAGAGAGTCCAATTGCCTTATCACCTCCAAACACAAGCTACAGTCATTTATCTCCTGGGTTATTTTATTAGCCTCCTAAATGTCTCCCTTCTACCCTTCCTGAGTCTGAGGAGGACCTCACGTGACTCTCACCTGGAAGCCACTGTTTCCTTTAAAAAAAAAAAAAAAGTCAGACTATGACACACTCCGCTAAAGAAGCTGAGTCTGAGGAGGACCTCACGTGACTCTCACCTGGAAGCCACTGTTTCCTTTAAAAAAAAAAAAAAAAGTCAGACTATGACACACTCCGCTAAAGAAGCTTCCAAAGACTTCTCATGTGGTGCTCACTCAGAGCACCACAAAGCTTTTCGCAATCTGGTGCATGTGCCCCTCCCCCCTTCACCTCACACCTTTCCTCTCTGACTTCCTCTCCTATTCCTCATCCCCTTGCTTACCTCATCACCTTCGCCTCCCTCTTGTTCTTCCTCGAATATGCCTGCTTCTGCCTCAGGGCCTTTGCATCTGCTCTTTCCTTTGTCTGAAGTGTTCTTCCCACCTTTGCCAAAATATCACTATTGTTCCCTGTGATAGTTTTATAGTATCACTATTATAAATAGTGATAAATATCACTATTGTTCCCTGTGATAGTTTTACAATATGTTATAAATATGTTATAATTATAAATATTATAATATGTTTATAATATGTTTTATAATATGTTCAAGAGGTAGAGACTAATTTCCCTCCCTTTGACCCAACTCGAAGGAACAACGCAAAGCCAGGTGATGGTGTAGGACTTTAGAGACCACAACACGAAATGCACTGCGTCTTCCCCCTGCTTCGCTCTCTCTTGGATCACGCAGTCTAGGGGACGTCAGCTTGCATGTCATGAAGACAATCAGGCAGCTCTCTGCAGAGGTCTACATGGTTGGAAACTGAAGCCTCCTGCCCAGAGCCATGGGTGAGCCACCCTGGAGGCAGACCCACCAGCCCCAGTCACCTTCAGATGGCTTGACCGCAACCTGATGGGAGATCCCCAGCCAGAACCACCCTCCCCCATCTGTTCTGAGATTCCAGCCCCTCAGAAACAGTGAGAGGTAATAAATCTTTGCTGTTTTAAGCTTCTAAGTTTTGGGGTAATTTGTTAGGCAATAATAGATCATCACTATGCTCACTTCCCCATTCCCTTCAAGTTTCTGCCACAGTGTCACCTTCTCAGAGACGCCTTCCTCAGCCACCCTGCCGAAAGCGAAATGTCCCCCGCCTCCTCCTGGGATTTCTTACTCCCCACAGCACTTACTGCCACCTAATACTCCGGATAGCATACGTGTCTTTTTTTTTTTTTTTTTTTTTTTTTTTTTTTTTTGTCTTTCTCCTCCTTACTAAAATAGAAATTCCAGGAGGGCAAAGGATTTTGTGTCTTGTTTATTGGCATGTGCTCAGTACTCACTAAATATTTGCCACATGAATGAATGAACGCATGCCACGTCTTCGCTGTCCAGATTCACTTCCTGAATGCAAGATTCATCTTGCATTTTCATAGTTCGTTCTGCATATTTTTCTAAGGAGTCTGTCTGGTCTTGTCTTTTTTCACTACCACACAAGCTGCAAAAGGCCACTTGGTTTTACACAGGCAGGAGGTGACCCAGCCTCTTTCCTGAAAGTAGGTCTGCTACGAAAACGAGCACCTTGGAGGCTGGTGGTCATGTCTTTCATACTTGAGTGCTGATCGGTTTCTAAGGATTTTAATTTAGTCAAACAGGCTCCAAAAGACAAACAGTCCAAGCGGCAGATATATCCCAAGTGGAGGCTAATCTGATGGTCCTTGGTGCCAGTACATTCAAGTCCGTCATGTGTGGCCAGCCCGCAGTCATGTGGCACCCGGGAGGGGGGGGGGGGCAGCTGTGTCAACAGGGCCCTCGCAGGTCCGCACACGACGTGACCAGAGATTGAGTTTCAATACAGGACAAGGAAAGCATGAGCGGGGAAAGCAGATGGAAACCCCCTTGTACAAAAAAGAGCTGTTAGCAGGCCTGCGTAGGGAGAGCACTTTCTGTATTCAGGGCCTGTGTTCTTAGAAAGCTCCGTGTCCACTGCTGTTGTGAAATCACCCCTGCCGGCTCTCTGCTTGTTAGCTAGGTGTACTTTGAGGCCTCTCTACCTTGGAAATATCCTGACACTTTGACCAGGATCCCCACCCGGGACACAGATTGCTGCAATGTCCTTGGGATACGGTGTCTATATTATTACACTGATTAAAAAGCCACGTAATAAAAAGCCACATTCTGAGTTCATGGCACTGTGTGTCCTCTGGGTGACGGGTGTACCTAGGAGGAACAGCCAGAACATCTGGTTCAGGCCCCTGCTCCACACGAGCCAGCTGGGGAGGTCAATTTTTGCCCTTGAGTCTTGGTTTCCACAACTGAAAACGGACCGGTTTTTAGCCCCCCATCCTCTTTGGCTCCAGCCTTCTCTGCGGCGCTGGAGACATACTAAACAAGTGGAGGCTGCAGGTAGAGTGGGTAATGCAGGGCCTGGCACAGAACAAGGGGTGGTGGTGTCATCAGTATTATGCACTGCCGTGACAATCAGTGATGTTCAGTCAGGGCAGAGATTCTCAGAGGCCAAGGCACTCCAGCTGGGGGAAAGGCGACATCTGGCCACCGGGACAACTGTCCCCAGCAAGTCCCAACGCAGGAACGTGGCCAGTATGCCTCCCTCCCCAAGCCTCATGTCTCCGATCCAGGGGTCCCTCACTCAAAGCCCAGGGAAGCGCCCTTTCCGTTGCCTCCCTCTGTCCCCTGCTTCTCATGCCTTGAAATCAGCTAAGCAGAGTGAGACCTAGAGAACAACTTGCCGTATTAGATATGCAGAGTGCTCACACTTTAAAAAGCTTAAAGCAACTGGCATTAACTCCAGACTGGGTTTCAGGCAAAGGGGACAGGAAGTGGGGAGAAGCGATGGAGCTGGGGAAAGTCCCCAGGGCTCCCCTCTGTACTTGGGCCGAGCCTTCGATTCACCTTCCACAGCGCCCTGACCTCTGGTGTGGAAACTGGCGCGGCTGGGTCCCTGTCACGTGTCGTCGGGCAGGTTACAAATAGCATGGGGATTAGCAAACCCACCCCGAAAGGAAAGGACTGGTTCAAGGGCAGGGAAAGTTACCAGTTTAATTCCGGCCGACTATTAACAATCGAGAACCCAAAAGGGGGTTCTGTGGTAAGGTGGACGAGCATAAGCGTGAGGGCGGAAGGGACAGAGCTGACCTGCCCAAGGCCTGCTTCAGTACTGGAGCTAGGAGCTCCTGCCTGGATGGCTCAGGTAGGGAGGACCCTTGTCTCACATTCTAATAGAGCGCAAGTTTCAGGGACCTGGTGTCTCCATAACCCTTTCCTGGTCGGGGAGCTCACAGCGAGGGACTTGCTCCAGTGACCCCCCCCCCCTTCAAGGTCTCCGGAGGGGCAGGGGTGGCACACGCCACTGGGTAGACTAGCCCTAGACGGGCGTCGTGGCCGAAAGCGTGGCCTCAGGAACGCAGGGCCCCGTCCTGCCTGGGCCACCAGCACATCGGAGAGGGCAGCGGGCGAGTCCCCTTCCCGCGTCTCCCCCTGCCCCAACTCTGGGCCCGGGACCCCGAAGGGAACCGGCTCCCTTCCTGCTGCCTGGATCTCGCAGCGCGCAGTTCGGACAGCCTGGAGGAGAACCTCAACTCGCCGCCCCCTACCTCCCACGGCTGTGGGCCAGCGAAGTGGCGGGGGTGCCCATTTTTCCTGGATTCCTTGCGCGCACGGTCACGGGCGTAGAAGCGGCCAGATCTGCCCGCCCCGGGCTCCAAGGCCGTCCCCCGTCCTCCACTGCCGCAGCGGGCGCGTCTCCGGCCCCGAAGGGCAGCACCCGGCGGCGGCCAGCTCCCGCCAGTCGGCCCTACCCCGCCGCGCCCCCTCTGGCACCGCCTCCTTCTGTAAATACAGTGGCGGCCCGCCCTCCGCGCCCGGACGCGCAGGTGGGAGCGTGCGGAGCCGGCCGCCACAGGGAGGCCGCGCCCAGCCGGGTGCCCACGGCCAGCGCCGCCTCCCAGAGCGCGTTCCCCCAGGCCCGGGCCAGGCTCCCGGGACGCGCCCCGGCGCAGGCAGCGCGCACGCCCGACGAAGCTTCAGGTAAGCGGCTCGGGTCCCCGCGCTTCTCCGCACTCCCGCGCGGGGTCTGGCGCTGCGCTTTTGGGACCAAGCCTTGGAGCGAGATGGAGATCCCGAGCTAAACCTGCAAGGGTGGGAGCCACAGGCGGAACGGCTCGGGGCTGTTGTTGCGCTCCGGCTCCTTAAAACCCGCGAAACTACTCCCTGTAAAAGACTTCTGGCTGCCCTTGCCTGGATCCCCAGATGCACCCGAGTTTTAGGCTGGGTGAGATGCCGATGATTTGGAAATGTCCTTTGAAAAATTGTGTTGGGGAGGTGGATTCGGCTTTGGGGACATTAAACGTAGGTTGGTATTTAAAAAAGGTTTACTCTTCTGTTAGTGTCGATGTCTTTGTGTCCGTTTGTGAGTGCATGTATACGAGACAGACTGACTACCCACACGCTATTTTGGATGAGGGATTAATACATATGGCAGGTGTTTAGTCCACTAGTCCATGGATGGAAAAGAGCTACAAGTCCAGGTTGAGGCTTCTATTTACTTTACTAGTATTTGGGAATTTGCCTGAAGTCATTTGAAGCCTTGTGACTCGCTTCAGAGTTGAAGGTACCAGAAATTCCCGATAGGACTTTGTAACAGAGAATCACCCTTATCACTGGAACCAGCAAAAGAGATTACATGATCTAGATTTCTTTTTCTTCAATTAGTGCAACCTTGTCTTTAAGTGTTTGTCTCAGCTTATTGCACCTTCATAAATATAGTTTGTCTAGGTCTAAAATGGAAACTTATTTCCCGCCAATATTTCCTTCTCGCCCCAACTTCCTTCTGATTTCAGTGCACATTTTCCTGGAAAAGTACTTCCTAGTGTAAGACCAGCTATTTGCTTTCGTTACCTAAATTAGCTGACCCTCCTTGGGCCTCATTTGGATCTATCAAGATGGCCTTGGCTTTAGAGCCTCAATCTCAATCTCCTTCATGTGATCATGGATACAAATGGCACAAAGCATTTTAAGTTTTCTTTCCTGGAGCAAGTAAAAATGGTGTTCACGTTTAGGTTGCTTTTTCCAGTGCCTCAACTTGAAGGGTCCTGGTAAAATATTCCACTCATTAGAGTAAGAAGAGATAACTACACGGACGATCAAGTCAACGTAGTAAACTAGGCAACTTTTTCACAACGGCATAGGGTACCCTTCATATAGGATAATGTAAGCGCGAGGCTTGGTAATCTTGTGGAAGGCACTCTCCCGCTTGGTTTCACTGACCCGCTTCTTCCAAAGTCAAGTCCTCTTGCTGTTTAGTGCTCTGTAACTGGTGGTTTTATTGGCTGCTTATTTTTAACTGAGCCTACACCTTTTTTGTGGAAGTGAGAGGCACTTTGGAGGAGGGTGAGTGAGAGGCCATCTGCACGCCTGGGAGGCAAGGCCTCGCCTGACCCGCTGTGCCACACACCCCTCGGTCATCCCAGCCCGGTCAGCCAGGCCGGCGCAGCCTCAGTGCCTGTTTGAGAACTCAAGGGACGAAGTTTGACACAGTTCACTTAAAAACCACCAAATCCACTCTGTTCCTGAACTGCCTTCCCATTCGATTGAAACTGCTGACCTTGGGCCTCCTGGAGATGTGACAGCCTTAGAAAAGGGCTGGGAATGGAAAGTTGCCACAGTCGAAAACAGGAAATGGAAAGTTAGTTACTGAACGAAAATTTACCGACTTAGAAATGTTCGGAGCAGCTGTGATGAAACGTGGGATGTCTGTAAATCAGAAATAATCCCAGTAGTTCTTCCCTCACTTGCCACTGTTTTTTTGGTTTTTTGTTTTTGTTTTTGCCTGGGGAAGTGAGTTTGTAAGACTCATAACAGGAAAAGCCACGCCCAGTTACGTTTATTGTATGGGTTTTGTTTTTTTAAACATACTCTTAGGTGCATGGTCATTGCATTTCCTCTTCTTCAGTATCTTCATAAAATTACATATTCAAGAGTTTCTGAATGCCGGTGCTTCTGACTCATAAACCAGCTCATTGTTCCCCAGTGTATCCCTTGCATAAAGTTCTGTTCCTATGATTTCATCCTAGTGTGATTTCTGAAATGGCCAGGGCGGGTCAGGAACACCTGTGCCCACTTTAATTTGGTGTTTGGTTACATTTTCAGAGCTGTTGAAACCAACCAACCACTGGAGGGAAGGAAATCCATTCTGCCTGGTTCTGGGGAAGGGGCCTCTTCTGGCCATGTCTCCTGTAGCTGCTGCTGAGCCAGATGGGGTCCAGCCAGACAGGAGTGTCAGCAAGGTCATTTTCTTCCTTTTTGTCTTTGGTGCCATCCTGTTGTGCGTGGGAGTCCTGCTCTCCATCTTTGGGTTCCAGACATGCCAATACAAAACCTTCCCAGACTGCAGCATGGTGCTGAAGGTCGCTGGGCCTGCCTGTGCCGCCGTTGGGCTCGGGGCTGTGATCCTGGCCCGCTCCCGGGCACGGCTTCAGCTCCGGGAGGGGCACCTGCGAGGCAGTCAGGCGGACCCCGACCGAGCCTTCCTCTGTGGAGAGAGCCGCCAGTTTGCCCAGTGCCTCATCTTTGGGTTTCTCTTCTTGACAAGCGGCATGCTCATCAGCATACTTGGCATCTGGGTCCCTGGATGTGGCTCCGACTGGGCACAGGAACCCCTGAATGAGACAGACACTGCCGACGTGGAGCCCCAGATCTGTGGATTCCTATCCCTGCAGATCATGGGACCCTTAATTGTACTCATGGGATTGTGTTTCTTTGTGGTTGCCCATGTTAAGAAGAGAAACAACTTGAATGTGGGCCAGGAGGCCTCTGAAGCTGAAGACAGACAGATCCAGAACACAGAGCCTGTCCAGGTCACTGTAGGTAGGTGGCTGTCATTCCTATGCATGCTCATAGCACAGTGGCTGTAGCATCAAGGCTTCACCAGGCTGCCCTCGGGTCTGGCCCAGAGTCTCTCTTTTTTGTGTCTCTCTCTTACACACATGTGCACGCATACGCACATGTGCACAGTCCTGCTGCTGTGTTAAGCCCTGGAAGAGTCCTTGTACACCTCATCTCCTCCCAGCAATTCCTTATTATTTAGCAAAAGCACTGGGACATTAAGTTGTGACCTTGACTGAGGTCACAGAGCAAATTAAGAGGAAAGTGACAGAAACTGCTAAGGAGAGCCTGGGAACCTTCTGTCACGTTAGAGACCTGCCAAGTGACATGGCACTTTGTGCCGGCCATGCAGAATCTCATCCCTGGCTATCACTGGCTGGCTGTCCTTGGGAAGTCCTTAACCTCTTCTGGCCTTAGTTTACATATCTATAAAATGAGCCTTGCATTGCTGAGATTCCTTGCAGCACTAACATTCTAGGATCCTGTCTGTCCCAAGGCCAGCCATCTTCTATGTTTTGAGGCAGCTTTCTGCAAGGTTTCCCACGTCGTTCTTCGTTTGGTGTCATTTGTGGCTTCAGGATGGAGGTGAAGTTTGGAAATAGTGGCACAGATGAAACTGAACTGTGATCGCACCTGTCACTTCTTTCCCCCATGGAATGCCCAGCCAGGACTTCTGAGTTCTCTGGGTTCTGCAGAACAGATGGAGGAATAGCTCCCAGAGTCGGCCCCCTACAGAACATCAGTAGCTTTTGCCTCAGTTTCACACAACCAATGAAAAACCCCACTGCTGTTCAGTTTCACCAATCGCTCTTTTCTTTTTTCAGTCTCCTGCTTTGGAAAGGGAAAAGCTCTCAAGCCGTAGCCTTGACATCTGCAAGGCTCGGCAAAGAGCATTATGGGACAGGAGCAGAGAAGGAGTGTGGTGCACATTTCTCGTGTTCGGGGCGGGGGGGGCCTGGTGGAAGCAGCGGTATTCACAGCGGGGGGTGCCCTGGACTGCCAGCCTCGCATGGCACTGGCCTTGGAGAGCAGGGCACGTGGGTTTACAGACGCAACCTTGAGCCATGGTTGAAGCTCCCGGCTTACTTATTTGTGTATTTATGTATTTATGGGGGCCACACCAATATCAGTTATACATTAACAAGAGCTAACACAGACGCAGGGTTCATCCTGGGACCAAATACCCATCCAAGTGTTCTTCAAGGACCTACTCTGTCAAATTCTTTCACACCTACAACCACCCAATGAGGCAGCTACTCTTAGTACCTCCACGTTAGAGATGAAGAAACTGAGGCACAGGGATCTCAAGTAACTTGCCGAGGGCACAGACCAGCAAGTGGCAGAGCCAGGATCCCAACCCAGGCAGGCGGCCACGCACACACCGTGGCCCCCGCTTAGCACTGGTTTATGCCTAGGGTCCTGGGCAGCCGTTACATGGCTAAAGGGCTTACCCTATGTTGTAGATGTTCTCAGTCCTTTTGGGGAACACGCTGGGTCTAAGTAAACACACGCGTTTGATGCTTACAGTCTTCCACTTACTCGGGAGCATTTCGAGGTATGCCCTTGGGGTTTACTATTGGGGGATCTTTGGGGCTCAGCCTCCTTCCTGGTGGCTGGACTTGAGGGGCAGCAGAAAGCAGGGCTGCTGGTGCTGGGACACAGTGACCCCTGGGTGGTCTCATCCTGATGCTGGCTTTTCCGCTTAACCCTTTCAGTACCATCACCCCTGTGAAAGTCTGGCAGCCTAACTCCTTGTTTTTCTCTCCTTTGATATTATGGGATAGGGTTTAGGTTTTCCGCAGCCATGCCTTTTGGTGTAATTGCCAAGACTCCAGATAGACACTGTCTATTGATGCTCAGTTCTGCCTTATGAAGGATTGGGGTGCTAAGAGGCAGTCCTTGGCCAAGTCCCAGAATTCAACTGTTCCTGGAATGGAAGCCACTCCTCCCCAGACACACGAGATATCCCCGTCGTGGGCACACTCAGTGCCGGGTCCTGGATATACAAGCAGGGCTATGAGCTAGGCCTCCCTTGAGGGATGTCTGCTGTCACCTCCCAGAAGACATCAGGTCCTGGGGGACACAGTGAAAGGGAAATCCAGGGGGGATGGGGCTGCTTTCAGGGAGAGCAGTTTGCA